GTAATCCAAAAATAGATCCTACGCACTAACCTACAGCCGTCGCGGCGTAGCCCAGCCTCCCTTCAGCGTGCTCAGACACGCACGTCATCAGGCCGTTACCCCATCATGAGTCCAGCAGCGTCCCTCTCCTCACCAGAAGCAGGAGACAGGCACCGGCATTTTGTAGACATGATGGGATGTGAAAACACAGTATCCAAAAACGCTGACAACGCAGTACACCGCAGAGCATCGGTGTCCACCCTCGTGGCCGCGTGGCTGACGGGGACCTGCCACTCACTCCATGGCCACGTCACGAGGGGGCTGTACCACCTTCCACTGCCCCGGAAAGGACCCAACCTCAACATCTGAAGTACGTTTCTACTGCATGCTTACCACTTTTATGCCATCATAAAATTGAAAAATCTTAAGTTGAATCATCATAAGTCGGGGGCCACCTGCCTTCTCCAAATATGGGTTATTCAATTTTGAAAAGTGCCACATGTGGCATAGTAACAGCTGATGTAAATGGCACTGTGCCAATTTCAGTAAAGACACTTACCAGTCTCTTCTCTTCAAGGGTGCCATAATCTTGGAATCCAGTTCCATCCAAGGAAACTCTTTAAGTAAAAAAAAAAAATACATACATATATATGTAAAAAGTACTTTAAGACTCATTTTCTACGTAATGCAAGAAAATATCTATATAGTGCCAAATAGTTATAGATGTATGAAAACATTCTTGACCAAATTTCTCACTTTCCTTCTAAATATAGCTGTCATGTACTTTCAAGTGGTGAGTAATCAGCAGTAACAAGCCAAAGTTTAAGAGAACATTTAAAGCATTTACTGATTTTTCTCTTCATAGTGTATACTTAATATGGTTAGTCCTGAGCTCAAATACAGATTTTTTTCCCCCAAAAGTTAATTGGAAGACATTTACATGGAACTCAAAGCATATTGCCCATTAAAACATTGCCAGAGATGGGATTTACTTTCCTGAGTGAACCCACAAAAGGCAAAGTATCTGAAACTGGAAGGATTTACTTATTCTTCTATTACAAAATATACTTAGACGTGTTCTGCATAGCAAAACATTTTTAAACACATATTATTCACCCCCTTCACAATACAATTCAGCGCGACTACGTATAGCATAAAGAAGACTCAAAAGATGGGAACGGAAACTCGAAAAGGAGGAGGCAAGGGGCTTAGAGGGCAAGGGGCAATGGGGAGAAAGGCTGGACCAATGTCCCGCCTCCTTTTTTTCTAATTTTGATTCGCTGGCTTTCACCACATTTCCTAGTTTCCCCAGCCCCTCTGGATCACCTCGCAAACGCACACTCAGGCGCTGGGAGTGGCGGACCTGAAGGGCGGGCACGGAAGTCCCTGCTTTTCTCCCCTCCCCCTTCCCGTTTCCCTCCAGTTCTCTGTCATCTCCGTTCCTCTCCGCATTGTCCTCCATCTTCTCTCTGCCTTTCTCTCAGAAGCCCCTCTATTCTTCCTCCCCAAGCCCACTGCCCGCATTCCTTCTGTCGTATGGTTCCCTCCTTGAACCTTTAAATTCCTCTCTAGCTTATGTCCCTTCTGAACCCCGCGGCCACTGCCTGAATCAGGCCCTCGCCATCTCTTCTCCCTGTCTCTACCCTTGGACTTCCTCTGAGGAAGACACTTTCATCACCTTGCTCTCCTACTTAAGGACCCCGATACTTTGCGGGTCAAATCTAAACTCCTTATGTCTGCGTCCTGCCTACTTCTTGAGCCTCATCTCCTTGCCACACTCCATCCGACTGATGACTCCCTGGACCCTCAGACTGGGTCAAGCAGATGTTCTCCAGCGCCTGCCCCCACCGCCAGCCCACTGTTTCCTTCTCCTTCTCCTACTAGACCGTGAGCACCTGGGGGAGAGACACTAAGTCTTTTATCTGTACCGCAGTGTTGTAGAATTAAGTCCACTTTACTACCAGTTTCGGGCAAAGTGACAAGTAGAGCGAGGCCCCGGAACAAGGCGAGAAGTGACAAGGAATGACTAAGGGTAAGAAATGTAACACATTTGCGAGCGATGTGTCATTCTGGGTGTCAGAAGATCTGCATTAGCCTGAAGAAAAGGGATCCCAAGTGACAGGGAAATTCTCAGCAGCTGATGAAAGAGAGGGCCACTGTCACAGCAGCCCACTAGGACAGGTAAAGAACTTGGGCACAAGTAAGCCAGTAACTTCCTGTACTCTTATTGCAATATATCACAAGATAAACCACAGCAAATGTTAAAAGTTAGTATCACAGCTTTAATGCTCTGGTCTTATAAGCTCTATTAAACATGAATGCTAAATATATTTCTTGCTTTTAAAATTCTTTGAAATGTAGTAATTCTTATGAAAAAAACTTCCTGTGATACTCTTCTAAATCAAATATAAACAAATATCTACATACACATATAGATATATCTATATATGCATTATATATAAATATATATATATTACATTCGGAAGCAAACTCTACTGAATAGCGCTTTAAAAAGTATTAGTTAAGGCTTCTTTTGCATAGGGAGGCCCTCTTTCAATCTGCAAAACTTTTTCCTCTCAAGTAAATCTTGTCCTTAAAAATAGCACTTTCTTAAAACAAGAGCGATAAAACTAGACCCAGATTCCTGGCAATAGGAACATTTGCCTAAGAATTTTTCTTCTTTAGGAGTCGGGGGTGTCTGTGCATTACCTATGTCAGGCTACAAGGGAAATACTAATTTACTCATTCTATAATGGAGATTCTTTTTTTTTTTCTCTCTCTCTTTTTCTATCCAAACCTGCGGACCCCCAGGAAGAACGACAACAACAAAAATCAATCCAGCTCTACATAAATATGTAATCTAATATGTAATCTTTTAAAAAGAGAAATAGAAAGTATTCCACTTCATGCTCTAGCACAAGAAATAGTTAATAAACGCAGCCAATTAAAAAATATTGTTGTTCTTCCTTTGGGTGACCCTGAAGGCAGAAGAGAAGGAAGAACGAGGAAGGGAACAGAATCGTAAATAAAATGAGAGGGAAAGATCCGGAGACGGACACAGACAAGTGGACATCTAAGTGGGGAGACAGAGAAAGACAGAGGCCACAGCGGTTTCAAGTCTCTGTGGAAGGTCGCCGAGCACAAACGCGAGGGGCGAAGCGGGCGGGCGTGAGCGGGGACACCGAGCTCCGTCCCGGACGCACTGGGTTTGCGGGGCTCCGAGGAGGCTCTCGCTCAAGAACTGAAAATACAAGACTCAGAGCCAGAGACTTCGGTTTAGAGTTCGTCCCCTCGGAGATGGCAACTAGAGCTGTGGCAGTGAAAGCGGGGAAAGTGTGAGCCGGAGAGTGAAGAAGAAGCTGCCGACTGACTCCATCCAGCTCCTGCCGCTGTTTTTTGTGAAAGCGACGCGCGCGAATACGCTGCGTTATTTTGCAATCTTTTGCTTTGACGTTTTGTGATCACGGATCTACACGTCCATTTCTAATTTGATTTATAGCTATACTTTGTTTCGATGGTCAAGTATCTCACAGAATTGAAGGGCGAAAGTACCTCATGAGCAGCACAAACTAAATAACTATACTTATTTTTCTATCCTATATGTTAATTATGCGATTCTGTTGAAATCCGGATGGATCAGTTTCTATCTTCCTTGATATCAACCGGTTGTTCTTGGAAATTAATTGGAAATGTTGTATTTTAAAAATTTTAACAAGTGGGTTCAAAACCCACTGAAACTCTTTATTTGTTAGATTTTTAAATTGGTTAGAAAGTTATATTTCCAAGTTTTTAAGTGTGCAGACATGACAGTTTTAGCAGGTGGCATGTTTATATCCATCAGTTAAGCAACAAAATTACTTCATGATGGAAAAAAAAAAACACTGTCAAACTTCTGTTTTCGAAATGCTCTCTTCATAACGGAAGTTTATTTTGGAAAGTCATTAATTTCCCAATCTCAAGCTGACTTCATTTTAGATCTGATTAGACCGTTATTTTTTCCCCTCCTACTGTGGCTGATGGAAGAGCACTTACCAAAAGGTCAGCGCTGCCATTGCATGTTCCCTTGGCTCGCAGTATTAGTACCATCTTCAAACAGTAGCCTCTTTGCAGTGATTTTAGAAACACCATGGTCACCTTTTGAGGGTTAGTTTGTTTAAAACTAGATATTATAATCCATAAATCCATGTAAACTGCAGCCTGTGGCAATATGCTGAAAGCAAGCAAATGAATGTGATCACAGAGGTCGCCCTCCTCATTGTGTAATTCTCAGTCTTGCCTGGGGCGTCTTGTGTCCTGACAGATCACGGGAGACGATGTCATTCTGTCTCCAAATATTAGCAAAGCTATTAAAGTGGACCTCGAAATGTTAGGAAACATTCTCAAAACATACGAATGGGACGTTTGTGTTAAGCACACAAGTTCCCAAGTATGGGCTGTGGGTTTAGAATCCACATCTTTAACAGGTCCCAGGGGTTTCTGATGCAAGGGGTCCCCAAAGCACATTTGCGGCAACTCTCTCCTAAAGGTGAAAGAAACTCTCATACCTTGCTGGTGGGACTGCAAATTTGGTACAGCCACTATGGAGGTTCCTCAAAAAACTAAGACTTGATCTACCATATGATCCAGCAATCCCTCTACTCGGTATTTACCCCCAAAGACTTGAAAACACATATCCGAAAAGATATTTGCACATCGATGTTCATGGCAGCATTATTCACAGTGGCCAGGACATGGAAGCAACCGGAGTGTCCTAGATTATATATGATTGGCTAAAGAAGCTGTGGTACATACATACAATGGAATATTACTCAGCCATAAGAAGAGATGAAATACTGCCATTTGCGACAACATGGATGGACCTTGAGATTATCATGCTAAGTGAAATAAGCCAGACAGAAAAAGTTGAAAACCACATGACATCAGTTATAAGTGGGATATAAACCTAAAAGCAACAAATAAACAGGACAAACAAACAGAGATTCATGGACATGGATTATAGGCTACTGGTTACCAGAGGTCTATAGACTAGTGGTTGCTAGTTAGGTGGGGAAGAAGGGGGGG